TAGATATATATATATATGTATATATATTCGCTTGGCTTAGGGCCTGACGGCCGCAGGCAGAAAGACTCAGATTATTTACTACAGCTGATACGACAAGGTCAGGTTTTGTTTGTTTTGCATTTAGGTTATACTGGGGCAGTTGAGCACTGGGTTCAACATACGTATCTTACCAGAGTTCACATTAAAGGAGTACGAATTTCGGTGTCCAATCTATCAAAATACTCTCTGAGCTAAGAGTAGTGAACAGGTTCGCAAGGAGTGTCGTTTGCGCACAACTGATCGATGGTCTGAAGGCTGGAAAAACTCTCCTAGTCGGAATACTCGAATGTACCACAGGCTCATGCGACTGGGTTAACTGAGGGCTGGCAGCATGACAGGGGGAACTAGACGTAATCTTATCACACGTTCGAAGGCGTAAAAATCTGTATAATATAACTTAGAATAGACGGCGGCTTTGACGATATGAGTGCGCGTTGCTTTCGGAAAAGCAAGTTTGTCCATCTAAATCGGCGGAGGCTTAGAGGTCACAATGATAAACTAAAAACGAGTGGCCAGTTGTCTCACCCGACAACTTAGGCAGATAACTCCATTCCGTAGTGACCCAATCCATTCAAATTCGTATGCCGGCATTCGGTAACAGACGCGATATTATCCCAGGTGATCCTATAGAAAAAACTTATGATGTGAACTCGCTGGAAGCTCACCGTTCGACCCTAGTTCACAGTGCAACGGCCACCGTGGTTGTGTTCAAACACGCACATGGAGTAGCTTTAAATGAGTTGTATAAATAAAAAGGGAGCTCAAGGTGACTACTCGGAATGTACTTCGCCCTGCATCAACAAAACTCTTCATTTCACCGTACTTTGTCATGATTCACCCAAGTGCAATGTTCTAAATTCCAGTTACCCACAAGCAATTCCAGGTTTGCGGAAACCACTGATCACCACGCACTTGTGTGAGCCAGCAGTGAAAGTAGAGGACCGCAAATGGACCAGGAGATAAGTTCTGGTAAAATGTACCAGCAAATGTGTTTACCAGCCAGAGAACAACGTCAGCTTGGTTGGTAGTCTGTTTACCGAGCTTGGTAGTTGGATTGCAAACGTTACAGCGCTGATCGAGGGGACGTCGTCAGTGTGGGTTTGAGTGGGTAAATTCATCCTCTTCTGCATGTGATTATATGGTTTCTGAACAACACCTGATGGCCCTAAAGCGGTTGATTCGTCCTAAGGTGATCTTTGCGTATTTTGGTTGCTCATCTGGGAACTCGATTTGCGTCGTTGTCTCACTCCATTGTATCTAGTTGCCTATTTAGACGATTTCACTTCGACATTTCTACTCCTCTCTTGTGGTTGGACCATTTCATCTTTGCTTTGTGGTCTGAATATGTTCACGTGATTGGTTGATTCAGCGGCCTTCTATTTTTGGTATTTTCCTCCTTTGATCTCATTGGTCCGTTGGTTGCCGACAGGTTGCCTAATTTCCCTTGTGGTTCACAGCCCCGTGAATGTGTAGTTATTATACTCGTAACGGTGGATAGACTGGATTGATGTCGATCGGCTGTTTTCAAGCGAAAAAATATCTCAAGAAGAACCAATCGCTTTACGGTGATCAGATGTGCAGTTTGGAAAGAAAGAGTTCACTCACTCAACCACGCAGTGACGATTGCACCTTGATTGGTAACCAAGTCTTTGTAATTCAGCTACCAAACTCGGCAAACAGACCAACAACCAAGCAGAGCACCCGAGCCACTTACATTCCGTAGCCACCAAGTCACTGTGTCACTACAATAAAGCAAACACTATGAGTCGTTTGTGGGCTGTCCTACACCTGTTGGGATAAATATGCAATCAATAAAATTTAAATTTTCTGCTATCCAAGGCTGGTTGATAAAATCGTGGCCCTGTAGTCAGCGGCTACCCAGTCACGACAGGATCACCTGACATGGGTCACGTGTTTGAACCGTGAGTGTCACTCTATCGTGGCCAGCTCGGAGCTAATTATGTTGCTAATCAGCCACTAGAGAGTGACCGATGCAGCTCCCAACTACTACTCGGGAGATCGTGGTTTTGAAATTGCGTGGCAGTTCGTGAGATACTAACTATCCACAGTAAAGATGAAACCGCTGTAAATTGCTTCGCGGCTTTTCAGCATAGATTGTTTTCACTTATAGGAAAAAATCCTGATGAAAACTAGTTCTACGCTTCCTCACATACAACAGCTCCACAGTTCAGTGTGATCCGCGTACTTGAAGACAGTTCAAAGGTTCCCAGATCAAGTCCCGCCAGAAGCCTCAGGAAGAATCACCATCCAGCATTCGAAATGAGAACAAAACTGCTTGCTTTGAGGTTGTCAGAATAAATTTCCCTCACTGCCTGGAAAACAAGACAAATGGGGATTTCTGTGAAGGCTGGAATAATTACGCCAGAACAGGAGGACGACCGTTCAAATGAGAGCGGTGTGACTATGGGCGAACTACCCATCCCGCAAAATCCCAAAAATGCAACCAAAAAGTGGGTTTCAAGCGTGTGTCACGCTACCTGACTGGCGGGTAAGTCGATCGTCACGCAACCAGGACAGTTACTGGGTCGTCGTTCGATGATTCGGACACACCAATCACATCTCTCAAGTGTGAACACATTTGCCTCTTCAGACGTGAGAACTCATATGCATCCAACGTGCGTTGTGGTTAAACTCTCGCCCCGGATGTCAGATGCCCGGGGTTCAAATCTCGGCACGGCCATTGGATATGTACTGTTGATGAGCTATAATAAGAGCGAGACTCGAGTCCAGTGCTTCCCCCTTTTGGTGTGTACTCACCGGAATAATTACGCAAAAACAGGAGGATGACCGTTCAAACGAAAGTGGTGTGGCTATGAACAGAATACAGAATGGCTTGAGTCGACAAAGTTCAACTAACTCAAAGCGTTCGATTGTGATCTGTTCCACGGGTTTTAGAGTGCATAAGGCAGTCAGTTTCTGTGGGCAGTTCGTTCTGAATTTCCAGCGAAATCAGTCCACTGGTTACACCAGTTTCGAATTGAGACGTTAGATGACCACGAGAGATCTATTTGAAAATTTTTGGACGAGCTGATGAATGCAAATGGACGAGGGCGCACTGTTTATTTTTTTAGATCAATAGTGCAAACTTCTCAATAAAGTCTTGCAGGGTTGGTACGGAGTTTTGGCGGACTTTTTTGATCGGAGACCATCGCATGCGTTTGTTTCAGTCAAGAGCCAGATTAACTTTTATGTGGAATCATGATAAAGCTGTCTTTTCGGTTTGGAAAACTCTATGTTCCCCACCTGAGAGCTAAGGTTTCTATGTCTTGCTGTGGGTATGTAGACGGTTGACGTATGGCAGTGAGTCCATAATTCACTCAGTATGAGCAACTTTCTGGAATTATTTAATGAATGGCGTTCAGGACAAACCCGCCATTGAATGGTCCTTGAGATTTAACGACACCAGAAGTTAACGACCTTCTTCATCTGATAAGCCAACTAAACTATTGTCCGTCAATCATTTGATGTGACGCCAATTGCAAATTTCGCGGCAAGGCCCGCATTCTTTCCTGAACGCTCATCAACCTCTTGAGCAGCGGACTGCATAATTTGATCGAAATCGGTTAAAATTAGAGCGGTTTCATTCAATCCAATCAGTGCTCGATTGCAACAAACAAACAAACAAATAGACAGACAAACAAACAAACAGAAAACACAAGGACCTCATTTGCAATCGCATTGTTTTCATTCTCTGTATGAGGCGAAAGCACATTTGCAAATGAGGTTACTTTACTTTAGATTTGGAAAGGATTGCAAAATCGTATCCCCAAACACTGTTCTGTTTCGTAAAAATGAACGAAGTAAATCTGTTTTGGACAAATGTCATTTGATGGTTTCGTTTTTTATCACATATAATATATATATATATATACAGATTGACGAAGCAGCAGATATAACAACAAGCTATCAGGTACTTCGTGAGAATTCAATAAAACCAAGGTAAGTTCGTACGAGATCGGAAGAGCGTCGTGNCTTCGAAATGAGTAGATTCTAAGTTGTGGGGTGTTGAAGTGTACAACTTATACTTCCGTAGAACTTCACGAGTGAAGATACGTTGACAGTTTATCCTAACTAACTGCGCAGAAAAAGGTCTAGTCGTCTGGTATTCAGATTTTACGATTGTGGAATAATGGTTTCCCTCGTAAACCCTACTGTTATGGCTTGTTGAACCAGAACTTCAGATTTGTGAATAAACAGTTGAGGCAACGTGGCCCACCGAATGAAACTGGCTTACCAGAGACGGTGGCTGTATTCATCTGTTGATCCACTACATAGAGATGTACCTAATCGTATGCATGTATGCGACTTGATATGTATGGCTATGCTGGTACGGGATTCCTTCGTCATCTAAATTTTGTTTGTATTATATAAATTTGGCTTCCTGTTTTGGACAGTGGGATGGCTTTGTGGCTAAATTATAATTGTCTCCTAGTGAGGTTGAAACGCAGCAACGATTGGCAACGTTCACTTATTATGTTTCAACCATCAGTCTTAAGCATATTCGGACCATTCCATCTGAAGCACACATCATGTATCCATGTACATTGTGGAAATTCTCATGTTCGTTGTGAGTTTCTTGGATAAATCCAACTATTTGTACTTATTTGGAGGTAATGGTACTCAGACAACTTTCATCTTGCCAATAACTTTTTGTCTTCCACGCAGAACATGGTGGTAGCAATGCTCTACCTTGTACAATTGGAGTAGTGCAAATATGTCGCACTTTATGCCTCTATTTTTGCACAGTGAGTCAAGTTGAAACTATAATTGAGTAAACTGAGATCGTCATCTCACTAAACTGGGTCTCTTCTTTTAATCTACGTAACTTTTCGAGGGAGGATTTCAGCAACCTCTTGGCTCCTGTTTCAAGTCAAAAGTGCACCTGGATATCTCGAATATAGGATGTCAATCGAAACAAGGTGATCTTTGTGTAACACATCCAGTTAAGCGAGAGATTAAACTGAGTCCTCTCCTAACACCCGCTTAATTTGCAAATAAATGTATTTCGTCCTCTTGGTCAAGGCTGTTTGCCTCATTGGCGATCCGTTTCTAAAATTGTTACCTCCTTCGAGAAATACACTCATTTGCAAATCAATTTGGTTTTCACGAGAGACTCAACTGAATCTCTCATTTATGATATTCTACAACTGAATGTGCAGCACACAGGCCGCCTCATGTTCCGGTTGGCACCATATTCGAGATATCGCAGTATATTTTCGTAAAGGAAACTACTAACAAGGTTGCTGAAAACACTTCGACAGCCCACGAACGGTTTCGCTCTTCTTGGGGCGAAATGAAAATATACTGCGATATCTCGAATATCGTGCCAACTCAAACATGAGGCGGTCTGTGTGCGGCACATTCAGTTGTAGATTATCATAAACGAAAGATTCAGTTGAGTCTCTCGTGTAAACCAAACTGATTTGCAGATGAGTGTATTTCTCGAAAACAGTCCAATTTGGGTTCAAGTAAAACATAATTTTGACGGAAACTCGGGAACTGGGTCAACCGAATGAGCCCCAAAAGGGGCGAAACCGGTCGTGGGCTGTCGAAGAGTTTTAAGCAACCTTGTGAGTAGTTTCATTTATGAAAACATTTGTTACTTTTGTTTCAATCGTTTCGTCAAAACGATCTGAATACAAATGTATCTGCTGCAACCGCCAAATTCCAATCTAGTCAGCTGGGTTAATACCCACTGTCAGTTTTCTGGTTTCCTATCCCCAAACTGCGAGCTGAATTTTTCAGCCTGTAGAAAAAAACAATCACCTAGGAACACGAGTGACAAACTCGGTGTGATCGTTTCAGTACAACGTGGTGGCGGTAAGCACTAAAGTAGCCCAGGCTCTTCTCTAAAATCAGTTGAATGTGTGTTGGAGTTGACGCAAGTGGAGCAAAGTTGCCAGAAAAATGGTGGAGGAGCGGTGGAATTTTTAGTAACCACTGAANGGTAAGCACTAAAGTAGCCCAGGCTTTTCTCTAAAATCAGTTGAATATATGTTGGAGCTGACGCAAGTGGAGCAAAGTTGCCAGAAAAATGGTGGAAGAGCGGTGGAATTTTCGGTCACCATTGAAGACATGTGTGATAACTCCTCTTCTCCACTACCCTCTACGTACCTACTGCAAACCAAATCACTAAATGCCTTTCAAGTAACCCTGTAAAAGCTGACAACGAACGCATTTTCAGACTAATTTGGTCACACAGTATCGACCTTCTGCAATGAAGGTCCGGTGGTATCTCTCTCATGTACCACAACACCACAAGGTATCAGTCCATTTGCTGCTGCAAATTATTGTTCAGTGGGGGATTACGCGCCTGTCCTCGGCCAAATGTCATGCAACCAGATCCAACAGCTGTTCCGTTAGTCTTAGTGAAGCAAAGTGAACAACGACCACCACATATGTTTTACCATTGGTGAACTTTAAATTGACACAGCGAACCGAGTATCCCGACATCCATCTCACAAAACGCTCGAAAATGTGAGAATATCATAGTTATGTAGATTCGTTGCTGCCATATCTGCTGATTTGTCAATCTGTGGTATCTGCTGCCGACCTGAATCAATGCCTAATGAAGGAGAAAAAAGACTCACAGAAGGGAACACAACAGCTATATTCCTAACAAGCGAGTGCGAGAGCAAAAGTTACAACGGCCCCACGCTATTTAAAGGGGACTTTCTGACATTGATCCAGGCTGTCTGATAGGCATTAGTGAACACCCATCAACATCGATCATGCCTCTATGAAAACCCTGAACGTTGATCACATTCGGTCGTGCTTCTGTGGCGTGCAAGAACCCTCATCAGGTTTTGCTGAATTGATTGAATGATTGACTGGCCTGGATGCTTGCCGGCTTTCCAGTTGAGTTTTTGGTGGAGCAGTAGGTTCCGTGCGTTCTGAAGTTGCTTTCAAGAATCTGACCTTCCTGGTACATGTAAACAATACAGTGGTGCGCTCTCTTACATTCGATCGTCTGCAACATTCAAGCAAAAGATCTGGTCTTTCTACATTAATCTGACAAATGCATATAAGGATATGTTTCTCACTGTTGCTAGGCATCTTGGACTCCGTTAACATGAGCATCTGGCATAATACAAGTTTCCCGTAAGAACCGATAATTTTCAATGTTTGAGGCTTTCTCAAGTTGAGCCAGTCCGTTGGCAGGATTCCTGGTCAAGTCTAATTAACAGTCTGGAAATTCAAAACCAAATGCCATATCACAAACTAGAGATTCAGCTGGGTTCCAGGCGAGTCTCTCGCAAAACCAAATTGATTTGCAAATGAGTGTGTTTCGCTAATTTGGTGCAATTTGGGCCCCAGTGGAACATAAGGAAACTCGGGGACTGCGCCTACCTGATGAGCACCAAGAAGGGCGAAACCGGTCGTGGGCTGTCGGTTGGTATTCAGCAACCTTCGATTGATTTCCCTTATGAGTACTGAGAGGTTTTGTGACGTCATTGTTCCATAAATTTACAGTAACCAAGCGCACAGTGATCGACAACTGCTACATACTCTTTATGTAGCATTCCATCGACTGAACTGGACCGCCTGTTTGCGGAACGGCGTCATCTATATCCCCATGATGTGGTCACCCTAGGACATAGATCCTTCAAGCTAAATAAAGGGCGATCACCATCAACAATACTGACACCAGCACTATGTGAGAAGACCAACGTTTCACAGCTGTAGTTTGAAGGCCATTCGACTGAGTGACTCAGCTCAGCGTTGACGAGGACAACACGACACATCCTCAATGGGCCCGCCATCCGAAGTGAATCTTATGATGCACACGATCTGTTGGGCCACGTTTTTTTCACTGCAAGTTGGCTGTCATGCACCCACACACACTATCAGGATGACGACTGACAATAACCAGGGAGGTAACACTTGGGGTTTGGTTATCCTGTCTGACTGTAGGTGAAATGAAGGAACACCGTTTGCCTCTCCTGATTTCCGCAGAAACGTGGCTCTATTTGGGGATATGTGGGAGCTAAATCAACCAAGTGTTTCAGCACGTCTTGGGGGTAGGCGGTCTGATATTTTACCCATCTAACGTCTGACTGGGTTCCCGAGGTTGTCTGGAGGTCCTTCTTCCGTCTAGACGATCATGAGAAGTCGGTCATATTGGAATCCAGGAACCAACTTCGAAGGATAAGGGAGAGACAGGGACGTATTCACTTGTCATATTCATGTCTGCTGCGCTGCTCTTGACCATCCAATATATATATATATATATTTGTTGACGTAAGTAAATTTTATTCCCTACAAGTCTGGTGGTCAAAAACGAATTGGCCTTGGGGTCTTCGTATCCGCCGTACCACTGAATTAGCGCTCCTATGTGACGATGGTTCGAGCACAACAGCTTGGCGGTCCAGTTTTTTGTGCGGAGAAAATCCATAGGAGTGGACCTTTGTCCTTTCAACTACGCGCAGTTACACACCCCAATGTAATAGGCCGATCCATAAGCAGGTTGATTTCTCTGTGAGTACCACCTAACTCACTCAAGCGACATCCATTTGGCGAACTGCAGGTAGACCGACCAAACACAGCCCCTAAATGGCTGTTAACTCAAGGTTCTTTGCCTTTATGGCTCTTGACTGGTACGCAACCCGGCGGATAAGTGAAGGATGGAATTCGCGCCCACTCTAGGAACTTGGTCGTACGGTACTTCCCTCTAGCGCGTTTATTCTATGCGTGCTGATTTTAGAGTATACTGTTGTGTGCAACAGCGGGTTCGATTAGCGACTGTAAAAAGGCTCAAAGTGCCTTCCGGCGTGCTATCGTTTTATGGCTGATACATGGAGTGCATAGGTACGCTTTAGTCAGCTATCCACAACAGCCTTGTAACTCAGATTGCTGATTAACGATCAAGCAACGCAATGTGTCTGATGTCATCAGAGTGCATCTATCTGTGAGCTATCCGCAATCGTGCTGGCAACGTTATTGGCCCGGCTCTCCAGCCTAGATCAGACGGCAAGCAACTATCAATAGATATGTATAAAACTGGGAGCAGGCCTGATACCATGCCAATAATTTTACACACGCCGTAACCATTTGACGGAGAAAGTTATGCGCGTTCCACATTTGAAGACAATTAAAAGGAGTGTCTGACCATCCATGAGAGAACAACAGAGCGGCGGAGTTATTCCTACAAGGTTACCTTAGAAACGCTTGTGCATTCATTTTCTAAAAACCCAGTAAACGATTGCTTCTATTCCTTCCAAAGAACCACTATAAAAGCGTTGGCTTTAAGGATACCGGCGGACCGTACTGAATTGTGAGGAACTCTCATGACGAATGAATGCCAGGTGGCTTGTGCGCTTTGAATATATGGGCATTTCATCCGGTAAGGGAAGCCAACCTATGCAGGAGAGCTGAGTAGCACTCATTGTAAATCATCAGTAGGGAGTTTCAAAACCACTATCTAAGTACTTGTCACACTTAACTCTTGGGTCTTGAGTGACTGGTCAGCAATGTGATCAATTCACATTTAAACAGAATCGTTCAAGCACCCGGTCTGCATCACGTGATCTGGCTCGTGTCACTCGATTGGCCTTGTTGACTAAGTGAAATTCCATTTAGAACGACCTATGACTTCCGACTGGTGGGATGGAGGAAAAACAGAAAAGTGTCGGACCAGTCACATAAAGGCATGCGGAACGTAAAACGAGCTTTGTGATGTATTTCCAAAGAATCATCCGCAGAATGATTTTCAGTAATATCTGTTCACTGTCTGGTCCAAACTTGGCCGAATTGCTCGGCCGTACAGAACATCAGCACAGTGGTGTCGCAAGGTCACAAGAAAACTGTGTACACGGTAATGTCGACGCCGGAATCCCTGAACTTAGTGACTGTACAGTGTTGTGGGTTGGTTGTCTCGTAGACTCACAAATCGGAGATGGTGTTTTTTTGGCCTATTCAGTTTTACTTGTAATGTACTACTCATAAAGTTGCTGAAAATTCCTCGACGTCAGCAACCTTATGAGTAGTACATTACAACGATATACATGTATCGCGATATCTCGAATATCGTAACGACTGAAAAATGAGGCGACCTGGTGCAGAACATTCAGTTGCCTGGAAACATCACAAACGAGAGATTCAGCTGCGGGTCTCTCGAAAAACCAAACCGGTTTGTAAATGAGTGTATATTCGCTTATTCCGTTTTGTTTTATTCCGGTAGAGGAGTTCTTCATACACAATCTGAATGTATTTTGACCACCGTCTCACGAACAACTTTGGTGGACGGAACTGTGGGAGTTTGATCAAGAAAAAATAACCCAGTGGGAGACAACCGAAGAGGAACCAACCTCCGGATGAGACATATTCGACGTATACTTAGAA